AGTGTGCTGTGAATGGGTGTGACAGTGCTGGGGTGTCAGCAGTGAGCAGTGGTACCAAAACTTGAGTAGAAGAGCGAGAGAAGAACAGAGTTGTTATTCAGCTCTTAGGAAGTGATTGCAGCCTTCCAGTGCATGAGAGGAGTCTGCAGGAAAGATTGAGTTTATTGACAAATGCCTGGAGTGACAGGACACAGGGAATGGCTTCCCACTGCCAGAGAGGAGGGTTAGATGGGATACTCAGAAGGAATTCTTCCTTATGGGGGTGGAGAGGCCCTGACACACAGGTTACCCAAAGAAGGTGTAGCTGCTCCATTCCTGGAAGTGTTCCGGGCCAGACTGGATGGGGCTTGGAGCAACCTGGGATAGTAGAAAGTGTCCCTGCTCATGTCAGGAAGTGGAACAGGGTGGGTTTTAAGGTCATTTCCAACCCAAACCGTCCTGGAAATCTGTGATTCTGTGTTGGCCTGACTCTTGTCCATATATATGCCTCTGGATGTCATACATTTTCTCCTGGCTCTTACTAATCTTGAAGTATATTCTGTGTCATTATAGCTGTGGATGCAGCTCCCTGGCTGTGTCTCCTTACTCTGACAACCATGGCAGTGTCAACCTCAGAGTGCTGGGGAACTTAAATTCCAGACAGATTTGAGTTGGAAGGCACCTTAAAAATCATCCAGTTCCACCCCCTGCCATGGGCAGGGACACCTTCCACTGTCCCAGGTTGCTCCAAGCCCCGTCCAACCTGGCCTTGGACACTGCCAGGGAACAACCAGAGCTGTTCCAGGCAATTTGTGGCAGTCAGGCCTTGGAGATGAGGGTGGTGCTGGCAAAGGGCAGGAGCAGTTTGTCCCTGGCTGCTGGTGTCACTCTTTGCCCTCCCGTTGCAGAGTCGCTGCCGTACACGGACGACACGGCCATGAGCAGGTCGGTGGTGCAGTCACTGCTGGCCAAGCAGGAGTTCGATGAGGTTGACATGGCCAAGAGGTGAGGATGAGGCTTCCTGAAGGTGTAACCATCACTGTGACTGTCTGTGGAAGGGGTCAGGGCCTGAGGCAGACTAATTCTAATTACTAGTATTTAGAGGGGAAAAAGTTAGGAAAGAGGTGGTTAATCCTTTAGTTTGTTGTTGCTTTGCCATGCCTTGGACTGTGCAGCAGCGTCAGCTTCAGTGTGGAGTCTGAAGCTGCCTTGACAGCGCAGTGCTACTGTGTGTCAGCTTTGTGTGTGTTCACCTTTGGGGAGAAGAATGCTTAGAGAGTCCAGAAACATTTTGTTTCATGTTTATTTGTTGCTATTTATGTTTGTACTGCCCTTAATTTAGAGAGAGAATAGCAGTGAGCTCAGCTTGAATTTGTTTATGATCCATTTCCCTGTTGAATCCCCAGCCCTGAGAGCATTTGGTTCCACTTAAGGGAAAGTATTTCTTTGTTTAGAAAACTCTTCCATTGAACTTGAACAAAAGACTTTCCTTGTGGTTGTGACCCTCGGAAATGTTTCTAGTTTGCTTCTATTTTGAGGCAGAGTTGAGAGGGAAACAAGTGGGTTATGGAAGGTGATGTTTATACATCCTTCTTTCACACTGTTCTTTGGGAATTGTTTCCCTGCAGAACTGAATCACTGAGCCCTGGCTGTCACTGATTTACATGTGTGTTATTAATTCACTTTAGCAAGAGGCTTCATCCAATCACAAACCCCAAGTAACAGACCAAACCCCTGGGTGTTTTCCCACCCTGCCAGGTTTGCTGAGGAATACAAGAAGGAGCCCAACAGGGGCTATGGGATGGCCGTGGTCAATGTCTTCAAGAAGCTCCTGAGCCCCAAGTGCAACGACGTGTTTGAGCCCGCTAGAGCCCAGTTCAATGGGAAGGGCTCCTACGGGAATGGCGGGGCCATGAGAGTGGCCGGCATCTCCCTCGTCTACTCCGACGTCCAGGATGTCAAGAAGGTAATGGAACATTCTGGGCTTCTCTGGGTGTCCCTGCTGCCAGGGGAGTGTCCCAGGAAGCTTTTCTGACACTGGGGTTTCTCTGGCAGTTTGCGAAGCTGAGTGCAGAGCTGACCCACGCCAACTCCCTGGGCTACAATGGGGCCATCCTGCAGGCCCTGGCTGTGCACCTGGCACTGCAGGAAGGGCTCAGCAGGGAAACCTTCCTGGAGCAGCTCATCAGCCACATGGAACACGTGGAGGCAAATGACAAGTCTCTCAGTGATGCCCGAGCGTGAGTAGCTTGGGGAAAGCCCCAACCCTGCTGTGGTGATTTGTTCTGGCTCTTCACATTCTCTCCTCTTGACTGCACTCTCTCTTTGCAGGCTGGGGTTTGAGGATTTACCATTTTCCAGACGTCTAAAGAAAATCAAGGAATTTTTGGAGCTCAGCAGTGTTCCCAAAGCAGATGTATTGTTTGAGTTGGGTGAGTACATTTCTTAGTACAAGCATTAGGAAAGCTGGAAGCAGGACTAACTCAGCAAGCCTGGTAGATGTATATTCCCCCAGATTCCTCTTCAGTCTGTGCTGCCTGTCAGGTACAGAATATGCTGAAAAAGCGGCCTGTGCTTACCAATCAGGAATTCTGAGTCTCAACCCAGTGATTTTCTCTATGTATTGATATGAAAAAAATGTCTTGCTAAGGGAAATTTACATTGCTTAATGTTTCTTAACATTCCAAGATTTCTTTAAGGGCTATTGGGCCATCATGTTGAATGGGAATGAGTAGATGTGTATGGCCAGGCTGTACTGGGGTAACTGGGAATTGCTCTGCAGGATGTGAGTGGTACTGGGGAACTGGGGAGTTTCTGAGGGACAAACTTATGCACCTTTTCCTGGTAAAATCCATGATATCGTTATGGAAAGTTACTGGCAACATCAAGTTGCAGTAGGAAGGGAAAAGGATGGAAGCCCAGAGGGTACTGACGGGGTGTGTTCCAGGCAATGGCATCGCTGCACTGCGCTCCGTCCCCACTGCCATTTACTCCTTCCTGCGCTGCATGGACACTGATCCTGACATTCCTGACCACTACAACGCCCTGCAGAGAACCATCATCTTCTGCATCTCCCTGGGGGGAGACACGGACACCATCGCCACCATGGCGGGGGCCATTGCCGGTGCCTATTACGGGGAGGAGCAGGTGCCCCCGAGCTGGGAGCAGAGCTGTGAGTCTTTCCAGGAGACCCAGAGGATGGCCAACAGCCTCTATGAACTCTACTGCCAGCGGCTCTGAGCTCTGGGGCAGCACCAAGGCTTTTCTGAAGGTGAAGGGATGGTCAGCTCTGCTTCTCTGGTCAGACCCAGTGGTGGATCTGCACCATCAGCCAACGCCAGTGAGCCTCACCTGGGAAGGGTGCTTGCTGCTGGGAGCTGGGAGCCAGCGCCAGCTTGGAAAAGAGGGGACATCCCCTTCAGTCACAGATCAGCTGGGAAGTGGCTGCACTTGGACAGTGGGTGCAGCTCCCTGAGTGTACATAAGTGTCTCACTTCCATAGGATTTCTGCTGCTTGCTTTGTCCACCATTGTGCCATTTGTCATTGCAGTTACTGGCAGGTGTCTGAATCTGCAGACATTCTCCCTGTTTTACTCTGCTCCTGTGTCCATGGGCTGTTTTGGTAGTCAGTGGCTTGTCCAGTGGCTTTGGGAGGATCCACACTCCTGGTACAGCAGCAGATCATCCTCAGCTGCCCAAATAAGGGATGTCACAAGAGTCACCAGAGAGGCCTGGTGGCCCAGGTGTCACCTATGCTGAATTAGGATAATGGAGTGTAGGTTTCTGGGAAGGTTTGTTGCCTTAAAGGCAGAATGAGAAGGGCCAGTGAAGGGAGAAGGGATTTCTTTGCCTTGCTGATGGCTCTGTGAGAGACCTTTGATGCCTGCAGACAATCTCGGCTGGCTCATTGTCCCTGCTGGGAGAGGGTGTCACTAATTGCTGCTCTCTTCCTGGCCTTTGACCCTATGATCCCGCAGGCACCTGCTGCACTTTGTGCCCCCTTGCACAACTGCTGTTACACTGCTGCAGCCACTCTGGCTGCTCCCATGTTCCTAATCCATGCATCCTGTATATGCCCAGAGCACCAAGTGACATTCCTGTTTAAATTACAGAGTACCCCAAACTGAAACAGATCCACATAAGAGTCCAGCTTCTGTGGAGTGCATATGTGGGAGTGGAAGTAGTACAGGGATAGAATGCCTGGTTCTGCTGCAGACAGCCACAAAAGTGACTTGAGCAGGATGCAGGAGGTCACTTATCACAGTCTTAGCCTCTGTACTTGGTAAAAACTGCCCCAAAATTAAAAGGAAAGGTGGGTTAATTGGGGACATCAGTATTTAAAAGAAGCTGGTGCTGGTGGCCAAGAACATTCTAGCACAACTGTGTTCCAGAATTTTACATTTAAAACCTTTTCCTAGTGGAGCTGGTCAAAAGGGGAGAAACAGCTTGGGAATGGCACATATAGAAAGGGTTGGAAACTTTTTAATAATTGAAAACGAAAAGTCATCATATGGAAATGTTTATAAACTTAAATGTGACAGTGTAACTCTTGTTATTTCTCCAGTATGTCTTGTGACACTGGGAAATGGCCATGGTGCTCCCCAGTGGTGTCAGCACATGGTGGCTGTGTCAAGCTGCATGCACATGTGGGGATCTGGCTGCCACGGGTCCTTCCAGTTTTCCCTGTAGTCTGCTTCCTTCAAGTTCCAGTCTTTTGTGTGATGCTCTAAATGGGTTTTCCTTGTATAAATGGATTCTTGTCTTGGGAACATGTGGAATTTTTGTCTGTTGTATATTTTTGTATTGTGCTGCAGATCTGAGCTGTAAAATACCAGGTTTTCTACATTATTCTGCCAGAGGGGCAACCAGGTTAATGTAATTATGTAAAAGAAGATATTTTTCTTTTCTTTAAAAGAAGAAGCAGCTTTATAATTTTAAATGTTTGGAACTCCTGACAAGCAAAGAGCTCCTGTTTAAAGACTAGAGCCCTAGTTTCCTTGGAAAGAAGTAAAATCCTTCAGTTATCTTTGTTAAGTAGCCACTGCTTTGGTGTTTTCACTCCAGTCATGAAGTTGTGCATCCTCAGTGCCAAGAGGACCAGGAGTGGTTCTTGGTACAAGGGTGAGTTGATGCTGGGCATTGCAGGGAGGGCCTTTGGAAAGGCCCCTTTTTCTTAGCCTGTGGATGGAGTTCAGGTGCTGGAATCCAGCATGTGATGATGGTGCAGAGACCAGGGAATTCACTTGGAGCCTCATTAGGCAGGAGGATGGCTTGCTCCTTGGAATGAGCTTTTGAAGGTGCCTGTGTGTCAGCCAAGCTTCCCTGGAAAAGTTTTGCCTCTGCCAGCTGAGATCAGGTGGGAAAATTCTCTTTGGACTGTGCGCTTGTGAAGGTGCTTTACAGGTAAGTCACCAGTCCTGAGTGTTCCTGACTCACTCAGGATGGAGGCTGGCTGTGCACAAGGTGAGTGATGTAGGATAAAAAAAATCATGAGAAAAAAAACACATGGAAAGGGAATTCCTAAGACTTCAACTTGAGTCACTCAAATTAAAAATCACCAGCTGTAAGGATATGGATTTCAACCTTTTCTAAAACTGAATTTCTGGAGTCTTAATCACAAGAAGCATGCAATAATGTTTTGCATAAGGCTGTTAATTAGGGAATGTGCTGGGAATGAGCGAGATGATTTGAGGTGGGAATACAGTGTAAGAGAACTGTATGAGACAGAGTAAGTCCCAGGACAAAGCACAGCTGAACCCACCCTCTATACAGTAAGTTTTATTGATGTTTGTCAATACAATCAAGTACTGCAGTTTTAGTTGTGAAGAGCAGGTCAGTTTTGGGTCACAAAGAGTGCATTTTAAACCAACTTTTACTAGGACAGTGCATGTAGTAAGTATTTACAAAACTAAAAACCTCTATATACTAGGTTAGAAATGAAGATACTAGAGGCAAATTTAAAAAAAATAGTAAGAATTTGTATATAAAAATGCACAACTAATGCAGTTTTCAGCATTAAAAATAGACATACCTCATCCAACCCAACCTTTTTTATTCTTGTGATTGAAACCAAAATCCCATGCGCTCACACACACGACAGAAAATAATCCTTTCTGCTGGCTAATATGTACTCAGTATTCCAGAAAAAAAACCCTTCTGAAGAGTGAACAGCCTCCCTCATCCTGTGCATTTTTTTTTTTTTTTTTTTTTAGCCTAACTATGTGCGTGTAATATCTTTGCTTTCCATTAGTTTGTAAATGTAAGAGGTTAGATAGCTGTGAGGGGTGATTATGGGTTCGCTCTGCACGTGAAGGGAAAGTGGAATTACAAAACAGTATCTACAGGACAAACTCATTCTGGGGGTGGTTACAGTGAGAAGTTTGGTTGTTGCTTTTTGCCAGCTCGAACAAGAAGTCTGGAATGAAGCAGAACAGAACAAGAAGAGATGGGCTGTAGATTAGGCACAGTATAAATAAGTTGCTTTGAGGAGCAGCATGAAGCTCCCACCAGGCGTGGCAGCTCCTGGCCCTGTGCAAGGTTGGACCAGCTCAAATCCCTCTGTTCTCCACAGAAAAGGAGACAAATCCCCTCCCAGAACCCTCCCTTACCAAACCTGGGCTTGGAAAAATCATCTAAGCTTCCACTTTTAATTTTAGGGACTATTCCTCTTCCTGCTGGGAAATAACCTGTTAGGACCACAACCCAAATGGTCCTGACCCTGCTCTCAGGAGTTAAAAACATCCAGTGGGATCAGACACCTTTCAGCTTGAGGAATTTCATCTCTGCATGAAACTTGCAGCTTTAAGGAGAGAAATTCACAGGGAGGGGACACACAGTCCCAACAGGCAGTGCCCAGAGCACTGGCCTTCCAACTGCAAATTTCCTTCTTGTGTTTCTTAATTTCAGGGATAGGTGAGTTTTTAAAAGGAAGGCCTGAATGGCAAGAGACAGAAACACAGGACAGGCTTGAGGAGAAAACAAACAAGCAAAACAGAAATAGGAAAAGAAAAGTTGTTTAAATATCTCAGAGTCCATCTGGAAACAAGCCCAGTCCCAGTCTTGCTACATTTCTTTGGCCATCAGACAGGCTTTAGGAAAATGCAAAGGTCAGAGCTGGTGACCAAACTGTTGCTGTTTCTCAGGGATGTGCCTTTGCAGAGGGACATGCAGTGGAATATGCACATGGATTGACTGCAGCAGCATGCTCCTGGCCTGGGATGTGCAGCATCCCTGTCCTGGGAGTGGCAGTGACTGTTCTACTGTAACAAAACCTGCAGAGCCACAAGATCTATGTGGGGCAGTGTCATCATGCCTGGCCTAGAGCCCTGCAGCTCATGCTCAGGTCAGTAACGCTCCAAGCATTAGAGAGACAAAGTGGTAACGACAGGCAGCCTAAGTCACGGAGTGGCCCCGGGGCTGGTGCCCTGTCACAGGTACGTATTGCACTACACTTGTAAATTATGTTCTTAAATGAGTCTTAGCACCATGGTGAAATCACTGCTTGGAAAGTTAGAACTAGCACTATATTTTCTTAATTCCAAGATCCCCAGAGAAAGGGGGGACACCAATGCAAGAGTTCACACATCCCAAAATAGTGAGACAAGAAAAGCAAGTTGTCCATCGGTGGCACTTCCTTATGTCACACCAGCTGGCAGCACCGTGAGCTGGCCTCACAGTGCCATCCTTATGTGAGCAGAGATGCTCCTGAGGCCAAACAAGTCTTTGGGCTGCAGAGACAGACGGGACAGGACCAGCCCTTGGACTTCCCAGCAGGTGAATGGAGAGAGCAGATCGTTGTTCATCATGAGGGTCCCAGCTTCCCTCACTGCCTTTGCAACCGGTCGTGGCATCCTCCCAGGTACCAGTGCCTGGATGATTTTATTCCTAAAGATGCTGGGGGGGAGGGTTAAAAATAATATTTACTTCTTAGAAGAAGGTGCTTATGCAAAGTGTTCCACTCTTTAGGATTATAAATCCAACCATACTGAACCCGGAGTGAATTGGAGAGACTGCCCCAAAGCACAGTCTGGAAAAACAGGTGTCAGCGAGCCTGAAACTTGGGCATCTGATGGTTTGGAAGGAAATTTCTCAATCCAGCGTGGATCCCTGCTGTACGGATCTGTGTAAGTGCCCGGGACCCTGCGTTGGTTACCAAACATGCCAGCCATGACACAGCAGGATTTATTTATCTAGCATTCCAAATGGGAAATGAGGGCACTTGATACAGACCACAGGGGTCTGTCTGGTCTTCCAGCTGACCCTCTCTGGGTCACAGAGCCAGATCCTTGCCATCCCAAGCGTGTTCCTGTGTTTGATGTCCAGTCACTGGGGTATTTATTCCAAATATGCTTTGTTGAGGAAGTTGCTCCCCTCCCTCCCTTCTCCCTCCCCCCAAAAAAGAAAGGTAGATGGATAGATGTCTCCTTCCCAATTACCCTCTTGACTCTTGGATCAAACAGCGTGAAGCAAGGTCTCATGACAATGTCTTGCGCGTTCTTCCCAGTGATTTTTCTTTTTTGCATTAATTTTAAAACACTTTTTTATAAAAAAAAAGAAGACAGTTTATGGCTAAAGTGGGTGAAAAGGAAAAGTGCCCAACAGCCGTTATGTGGGGCAGAGCAGGAACCCAGAGAAGGAGGAGTGGATGTATTCCGTGGAGTACAGCCCATTGGCCTGGTCCGAGGGCATTTGTACCCAGACCTGGTCATTCTCCTTGAGTTCAAGCACAGCACTGCCCGAGGCCTGGTCTAGGTACCCTTTTTTGTACTCATCATAGGTGTAGGTGGCTGGCACGTTGTTCTTATACAGGGCCACCCAAACGTTGGTCCCTTTGACGTGCACGTGGTAGGCAAAGTAGTAGATTCCAGATATGGGGCAGGTGAAGATCCCGGTGACTGGGTTGTAGCCATTGTGTCCATTATACAAGGTCCGGTCAAACTTGACAGGCATGCCGGATGCGGGGAAGGGGGAGGTGAGGATGGCAGTGAAGGCTGGCGCGATGCGGGCAGCAAGCTCTCCGCGGCCGTACTGAGGCTTGCCCGGCTTCCCGTTGCCCAGCACAGCTCCCTCCACGCCACCGTCTGGCAGGTGCAGCCCTGCGATGCCCGTCTCGTCCAGCACCCCGGGAGCTCCTGGTGGCCCAGGTGGCCCCGGTGGGCCTGGTGGCCCGTTCAGCCCCGGTGTTCCCGGCATTCCAGGTGGACCGATAGGTCCAGCCATGCCAGGCTCGCCGGTCTTCCCCTCGCCGGGAATGCCAGGGAGACCGGGCTCCCCTTTCAAGCCAGGTAACCCCTGAGGCCCCATGGGACCAGCAGGTCCTTGCAATCCCGGGATGCCGGAGGGGCCCCTCAGCCCCGGCTGCCCCGGGATCCCACCGTCCCCTTTGGGCCCGGGGCCACCCGTCAACCCAGGCACCCCGGGAAGGCCGATGAACCCTGGTTCACCTTTGGGGCCCGTTGGGCCGGGAGGTCCCAGTGACCCGGGCAGGCCCCTTTCTCCCGGCATCCCCGGCTTCCCCGCGAAGCCGTTCGGGCCCTGGTCTCCACGCATCCCCGGCATTCCCGGGGGCCCGCTCGGCCCCACGTCCCCCTTGGGGCCGGGCAGCCCGTGCTTGCCCGGCAGCCCCATAGACCCCGGCGGGCCCGGCGGGCCGATGATGCCGGCAGGGCCTGGTTCGCCCGGCTCCCCACCAACGCCGGGCTCCCCCTTATCGCCGATGGCTCCCTGTGCCCCGGGCTGCCCGCGGTCTCCTTTCAGCCCGGGCATGCCTGGCTTCCCATAGCCCGTGGGGCCTGGCAGGCCAGGGAGGCCGCGGATCCCGGGCTCTCCCTTCGGTCCCATGGGGCCCTGTATTCCCGGCACCCCCGCGACGCCCGGGACACCGATCCCATCGATCCCGGGGGGTCCTCGCGGCCCCACAGGGCCGGGCTCCCCGGTGACACCCGGCCCGCCCGGGGGCCCCATGTCGCCCTTGTCCCCGGGTGCGCCCGGCAGCCCATCGAGGCCAGGCTTCCCAACGCCGGCGGGCCCCGGGGGCCCCGCGGGGCCGGGAGGGCCCCCGTTCCCCCGGGGCCCCGGTAAGCCTGGCTTCCCCACGCCGTTCTCACCCTTCATCCCTCGTTCTCCGCGGGGACCCGGCTCTCCTTTCGGGCCAGGCTCTCCCCGAAACCCGGGCAGGCCGGGGCCGCCCTGGGGACCCGGCTTCCCATTGACAGAGAGGCCGGCTGGCCCGGGCAGCCCCGGCGGGCCAGGAAGTCCCCTCGGCCCTTGCTCCCCACGCATGCCAGGCTCGCCCTTGGCTCCGGGCATCCCTTTCATACCAGCCTTTCCGGGGAGTCCTGGGATGCCGGGTTTCCCAATGCCCGAGAAGCCAGGGGGCCCAGCGGGCCCAGGCTGGCCGTGCATTCCCGGCTTCCCCGTGCCCGGTTTTCCTGGGTAGCCGGGAGGCCCGGGGGGTCCACGCGGGCCGGGCTTCCCTGGCGGTCCTGGCTCGCCTTTGAGGTCCATGGGCAGCAGCGGCGGCATGTCTGTGGAGAGAGGAGACGCAGAGTGTCTCTAGAGCTGGCTGTGGGCAAGGAGCGTCCTTACGATGTTGGAACCGGGGTACGTTCAGCAACGGCTGGGCTGGGCTGGGCTGGGCTGGGCTGGGCTAGAAGGGGGACCCTTCCACTTAAATATGGCCACAGCAGCTTCCTGAGTCCCCTCATCAGCAGGGCTGTCCTGAGGCAAGGCCAAAGCCCAGAGTTCTCATTCCAGCTTCACATCCCTCCATGATGTCAGGTGACACCATGGAAGGTGCCAGTGCTTGCTCTCGGCTCTGGCAGGGCTATTTGGTGATGAGTTACTGCAGGGTGTTTTTGGAGCTGGATTCAAACCTCCAGCTGCCTCACTTCCCAGCAGCCTGAAAAGCACCGTGGGATTCAGTTGCTCCTGCCTGGGCTTAGCTGAGAGGATGGCAACAGAGCGAGCCAAGACTGAGGATAATCCCTCAGCCTGTCCCACAAGTCCAGGGCCTTTAATCCTTTTGGATTAAAAAGAGAACTCTTGGACATGTACTTGAGAGCCTGAGGAGGCAATGGGTTAGGCCATGCCCACAGTGCTTGCTGGCGCAGCTCCTGAGTCCAGCAAGGCAGAGAAAAACCAAAGAGCAAAAAAGCTCTGGGGATGGAGGAAAAGGCAAGAGCTGTGAGGGAAATGCAGCCTCAGGTCCATCCAAATGAGTCAGCCCAGCTGGGAATAGGCCACAACCACTTGACATTTCAAGAATTTATTGAGGTCTTTTGCAAACGGATATAAGAAAGAAACTAATGGGCTGAGAGACTCCAAAGGCAAGGAGAGGCAGATGACATGCCCACCGTAACTCAGCATTGAAAGCACAGATGTGAGCATAAATAACTCTTCAAGGCTGGCCCTGGCAGGGTGTCACCTCCCACGTGACACCAGGAAAGGGTGAAAAAGAATAAATCTGACAAACTCTTTTTTGGGCAGTTTGAAATGAAGGAAATACTCAACAGTCACATGTACATGGGACGATAATAAGAAATGCGAAAGGCAGAGGAAAGGGCTGTGACATCTTGGGTGAATTTAAATCAAATCTGCCCAAGGGAAACCATTCCAGTTAGGAAGAGATCTATATGGATGAATTCCTGGGATGGGGATGGATCCTGCCTGGGGTGGGAGCAGGATACAAGGCTGCATGCCACAGGTCCCCAAGGTCTGCCAGTCTGGCCTCCTCAGTGAGCCAAGCTGGGCTTTGGGAGCACGGACACACGTGCTGTGATCCGCCAGCACGGAGATTTCCTCAGTTAACGGGAAAAGCTTATGGGAGATTTGAGACACGTGAAAAGAATAACTGTGGCAGCAGCAGGCACAGCTCCCGGAGCATTGGAGGTGGCTTTGCCTGCCCTGAACACAGCAATTAGCTCTGGCCCTTCCCAGCCCAGTGCTGCTGTGTTCTCCTTTGGGTGATGGAAACATTTTTAGAGCTTATCTATAAATCAAAGCCTGGCCCACACCCTCAGCTGTAGCTGTGGTCACTTGGCTCTTTTGATGAAGGAAATACTTGTCTGTCATGACACTGCCACTGGATTTCTGCAAACTTCTGCTCCTCACCCCGGAAAATGGTGTGGGAAAGAGGACAAGGGAGCTGTGCAGTGCTGCACTATTTCTAGGGTTTGAATTCTGGAAAAAAATTCTCCAGAAAATTATTTCAATGTGTTTTCTCCCCCCATTTTTTAATTTTTTTTTTCTTGCAATGGTTTGAAATAAATTCTTTTTCTAGGTCATTTTGCATGGAATCAGAACAAGGATCTACAGCTGAACCCACAAAGGAAGGAAAAAGCACACACACACTCTCTCACACAAGGCAGTGGAGAGAAACGCCAGGCAGGAGCTGCCAGCTTGCAGGCGGCCAAAAAAGCAGACAGGAAAACCAAACCATCAGCGGAGAGAAACTGGGACACTGCAGCCCCACTGGTGTCCAATTTCAAAAGCCCATGTCTTACCACAGACACATGTCTCGGAGCTCTGTGTTTCGCAGCACTAGCGTGGGGTTCTGTGTTCCCCTTGAAGCATGAACTGAGCTGCCATGAATGTTAATGCAGAGCCAGCTGGGGCAGTGGGAAGGGGATTGGGCAGGAATGACCCCCTGGGAGCTCCCACCTGGGCACCAAGGAGCTTTCCACCTCCTGAGGAACATGGACATGGCCAAGTGGGAGCTGCAGCCCCTATGGAGTTGCGTTCATCCCGCTAAGAACCCCTCCTGCCTGGAGAAGGGATCCAGCAGCACAGACCGTCCAGTAAGAGGAATAATCCATCAGGATGGGAAGTGGTTCCCAGCCATGAGCAGCCAGCAGTGGGTCTGGCCAGCACGGCCAGATGACACTGCAGGAAGGAGAGGTTGGCTGCTCTGTGGCAGAGCCCAGCTGAGCTTGTTCCAGAGTGGCTGCCAAGCCCTGTCTTGTGAGAGAGTTTCACAGGCTCACAGGGATGTTGTGTGGGATCAGTGTTTTAGCACCTCTCAATACTGTCTCCCAGCAGTGGGTGTCCCAGCACAGCACTCACTCCTGGGTTTACCTGGCTGCAGGGCCATCAGCATGGTTTAAATTAAGCCGAAGGAAATCCCAGTATGCAAATCTCTGTTTCAACGTCCTGAGCATTTCAGCATTTAGCAGCATCTCCTCCCCTGAGCTCGCTTTATGCTCTGGGGCAGCTATTTTTGAGTGAGAAAAGGTGTCTGGCACCCTGAGGAAACCTGTCACTCACCAGATGGCACCTGGAGGCAGGAGAAAACCCCTGGTCCCTAGGCCAGGCTGGGGCAGCCCGGGGACCTCCCACAGCTCACTCTGGGTCGGGGTAACCCGCAGAGGCACGGCACAGCCCTGTGCCATCGTGGCCAGTCAGCTGAGCTCCCCGAGCAGGGCAGAAGGCCAGCAGGGATTTTCTTTGCCAAATTAGAGGTTAAGCAGAGATGGGAGCTCTGTGGGATCCAGGAGGCACTGGCTTCCCCAGCTGCCTCTGTGTAGCCCCACAGCCAGTGGCCTGGGCTGCAGCTGTCACTATGTCCCCCTCTCCTGTCCCCCACCTGTCCTCTCTTTCCCAAGGGTTTTAGAGGAGTAATGTCCAGGGGACTTCTCTGCTCTGCCCTGCCTCAATGTCCCCTCTGCCCGGTCTAACCTGGCAGAGCTTGTCCAAACTCCTCCTTGTCCCAGCCTGGCACACTTGCTGCTCTCCCCAGCATAGACAGCATTGCTCAGAGGCAATGCAAGCCACTCCCATGCATAGGAAGAAGGGAAAAAAAGAAGGGAGAACAGCAGGGAGATATTTGAATCCAGTCCCACCAGCAGCTGAAGTGTTCCTGTGCTACGCTGGAAGGTTTTGGCTCTGGCTGGGATTCAGGGAGCAGCTTTACAACAGCTGGGAAGGGGGCAGGGAGAGGGGGGCTTATAGCACACTTCAGCCCCAGATTTTGCTGTGTGTTTTCTGACACATGTGCTGAGCTGAACTCCTGATAAGCCATTCAGCCCTCCAGTAAATAAGCCACCGGTGGCCCAGCCTTCTTCAGTTTCTCCTCCCAGAGCCAAGACTTCAGTTCCTGGGAAGGTCCAGCCTGTGGGGAAGCTCCAGTGCTCTTCACAAGGGCCAAGCACCGACCTGGTGGGTCTGGATACCTGAGCCCAGCAGTGCCCCATCCCATGGTGGTGCCAGCACTGAGGTGGATGCAGGCAGGGCAGCTGGGGACAGGTTACAGAAGGCTCGAGGTGCTGGAGCCCCAGCTGTGCAGAACAATAACCCCGGTGTCTCTGCCCCTCTGGGTGCACATCACTCGGTGGGGAGCGATTTAACGTGTGGAGTTTCTGGTCGCTGCTCTCTGAGAAAGGAAATGTCTCTCTCCTGCTCTTCCCTCTCCAGGCTGGGTCTCAGCTCCAGCCTTGGCACTCTTTCCTTTCCCAGCTGGTGCAAAATGCAGACAAGGAAACGGAATAGGTGGAGGAGTGGAAAAAACCTTGCCAGGACAGCTCAGGTTTAACAGCAGGGAGAGGCAGAGATGGTGAGTGCTGGGACTTCTGTGCTTCCCTCTGCTGGGGAGGGGCAGGAGGGCATGAGCCAGAGGCTAGAGGGTCCCTCGTGTCCCCTGGCTCCCAGAACAAGGGGCCCATGGGTGTCCTTCCAGCCCCAGCAAAGGGCTTCACTTCCCTGCTGAGCCTCTACCCGTGTCCATCCTGTCCTTCTGCACTGGGTTAGTGATCAAAATGGTCCCTCCATGCTTGGCCCAAAGTGTTTTGGACAGCAGCTGTGCCAGGTGGCTCCCAAGAGTTCTGACCCTGAGGGTAGAGGATGACAACTGCTCTGAGGCGCCATGTCCCCTCCCCACTGCCCCGTGTCCTCCCACAGTCCCACAGAGTACATCTCTTACCCAGGTACTGCCCTTTGCCTTCACGGAACGGGGGTCCCAGGGGTCCCTTCACCATGGGCTGCATGTACTTGACTTGAGTGTAGCCCCCCACGCCGCCGCCTGTGGCCAAGCGAGGGCCCAGCACTATCACCATCGTCCCCAGCATCAGCAGCAGCGCCACGACGTCTGGCAGCATCCTGCTCCCACGGCTCCTGCAACAGTGACAAAGCAACAGTGAGACTGGGTACACACCCCCACCTCACCAGGACCAGCTGGGAATCTCCGTGGGAGCGGGACTCCCTTGAATTTGCATTTTTGTGGATCAGAGATCATGCTGCCCTTCCCAATACATCACAGCTGGGAGATGCATGGTAAATACATTTTATAGAATGGAATCCCAGAATCACTGAGGTTGGAAAAGACCTCCAAGACCATTGAGGCCAACCTGTGACTGATCCCCACCTTGCCACTAGCCCAAAACACTGAGTGCCACATCCAGTTGTTCCTCAGACACCTCTAGGGATTTGGAATCCACCACTTCCTTGGGCAGCCCCTTCCAATGTCTCACAGCCCGTTCCACAGAGAAATTCTTTCTGATGTCCAGCCTCAACAACCCCTAGCACAGCTTGAGGCTCTTCCCTCATCTTGCATTGTAACCAACCACGGGAGTGTCCAGTGGAGTCTTATAGAAGCTTCCCTGAGTGTCTGGTAACTCTCACATGCCTTATACGTTTTTAACAAATGTAAGAGGGGGAAAAAAAGGCAGATGAGACCTGCAGCGCACTGAGCCCAGCATTGCTGTCACATCCCTCAAGTGAGCAGGCCCCTGTGAGAGGCATAGGCTGCCACTGCCAAGCCCTGCCTTCCCTGGGGGCAGTCAGTGGGGGCTGAGGCTCCCAGGTGGGTGCTGGGCCAAACCCTCAATGTGGGAGCCAGAGACTTGCTGCGTTTTTGGCTCAATTGTGGCGCTTCACAGGCAGCACTGGGAACTTGCACCGAGGATGAGGGACAGGACATGGGAGCAGCCTCAGCCCTAAGTGCCTGTTTATTTAAAATAAACTCCCTTTATAAATACTCTCTTCCTCTAGCAACTCTCCCTGTCAGCTGCATGTGCAGAGCTGCAAACAGATTGATTTGCAAAGAACATTTATTTTTGGAAGCTTAAACAACACATGACGCCACAGAGCTTTGTGCTGCTTTTTCTCCTTGCAATAATTGACCTGTGGTGGTTATTAATGAGAATTAAGCTCATGGCCTGTCCTGCCGGGGAGCAGGGGCAGGGCTGCTGCATGCCAGGGTTTCATTGGAATTTCCTGAATTGCTTTTGCTGAAGCAGCAGTGGAAAAAAAAAAAAAAGCTGCAGCTGAAAGAAAAAACAACCCAAATTAAAACAAAATTAAAGCAAATTAAGTCAAGGGAGCAGGGAGCCCTGGCATGGGATTGTTCCTGACACCACAAGGGCTTGGCAGGTTTTTGGAGTCTCCAGGGAAAAGGCAGCCTTGACAGCTGCTCCTGTGCCTGGAAAATAGTCTGGGAGTCAGCTGAGGGCTGGAGGGGACAGGGATGGCCCTACCAGCAGCACGATGGACCCTGTGAGGATGCGGGTGGCAGATGCTGGAAGAGGAGCTCTGTCTTGCCCATCCCACCAGAGCCACGGGCCTGGAGCGGTGCCATTCCCATTGAGACACCCGGAGCCGAGGCTGTGGGTCGGGTGGCACTGCCAGGGACATGAGTAACAGCCAGCCCTGGCCTCCTTGGCAGCATGGCCGGAGCCTCGCCGTCATTATTGTTTTTCTGTCTTCAGGGTCGAGGAGAGGAACGCTTCTTTTTATGAAGCATTATTTTACAAGGATTTGTTTAAGGGGGAAAGAATCCCATTTTAAGGGATTGCAGCTGTAAAAATACAGTTTCTGTTAAATAAAAGAGGAGAACAAACCCCTGAATCAGCTATTTACTTGTTTTCCTTACCTGGTATGACCTCTGTGCCTCCATCTCTACCTCCCTCCCTTCCTAACTCTCTCCTCTCCCACCTGAGCTGGATTCACCCTGCTCCTCCCCTCCACTGGGCTGTTTTCTCAGGATGCTGCCATAGGAGCAGCACCCAGGGGTGGTTCAGCCCCTTGCTACTGGGCACTGCATCCTCCTTCTGTGAGACCTCAGCCCTCAGTGAGATGTGGGATGCAGGGACAATGGAGCCAGAGTGAAGGGGGAGAGAGGACAAGGGAATCTGAGCTCGGTTTTGTTGTGTATTGGATGTGAAACTGAGTTCCCTGCTCTGTGTCCTCTGCCACCCCCTTGATTCAGCTGGGTCATTCCAGCTGCCCCAGTCTCTGCAGAGCAACAGGGGGAGCCTGGCCTGAGCCCCCTAGGTAGATATTCCTCAAAAAAAGGGGTCTCCTGTGCTGTGCTGTCCCCACCGGCCATGCCCGGCACTGAGGCCTCCTGCTACTCGCACTCTCCAGGCAGTGATTTAAAAACAATAAAATGGAAACATCTGGAGTCTCATATGATGGATAAAGTGTGCACAACGTGCTTGTGGAGAAGATCTTTCATACTTGAAATCTCCTGTGTTATGAAGTGATAATTAATCACACAGAGCAGCCACACGACGCTCCCATCTCACCTGGCAGGTTGCGAATGGTAGCAAATCCACTATGTGTATGGGGTGGCTACAGACAGACAGAAAGACAGACAGAGAGACAGACAGACAGGGGTCACCTGCCCATCCTCCTGAGGGACACCTGCCCATCCTCCTGGGGGTCACCTGCCTGTCCTGGGGTCTGGGATCAAGAACTTGCTCTTGCATGGCAAACAGAAACTCAACAAGATTAATTTTTTTCCCACTTGGAGCAGGAGGGATGCTTTGGGGGTCCCAATTGTAGCCCCACCTGGCTCACTCTACTCTGCCTGAGCACTGCAGCCACCAGGCTGGGCACAGAGGCAGCTCCAGCCCTCCCCAGCACACTCCAGTACGAGCAAAACCATCCCTTGACACAAAGCCAAGGCCAGCAGGAGCTGCTGAGCCAGGAGGGTTCATACAGGGGCAGCACTTGAGGGGTCCATGCTGTTCTCTGGGGATGCTGGAGCAGGACGGGGCCCAGCAACACCGCTCTGCTAGGCTCTGGGGAGAGCAGGGCCCCGACCCAGCACCAAGACCCCTGGCACGGCTTCAGAGCCGCTGCCGCTGCAATGTTGATGGTGCGAGTGTCGGCTCCCCTGGCAGGTGGCGAGCAGACGTGTTAAAAACCCCTGGCATGCCATGAAAGCACTGGGAACAGGGAAAGAAATCTCACACTTAAAGCATGAGAAAAGATACAAGAAATGTCACCTTGTTCTTGCAGGAAAACAACTAGTCCGTGCTGCCTTCATCACTCCAGAACTGCTTGTGGCTTGTGCTGGGCAGCCTGCTGAGCTCCCAGCGTGTTCCTGGCATGCTCCTGGTCATTCCCAGAGGAAGAGGGCTGCTGCCCCCCACACTGTCCCACTCTCCCCACAGAGCCCATGTCAGCACTCTCATGCCTGTGGACTGGGCAATGTTCCTGTGAACACCATGGCCTCACTTCCCCATGGACACGGCCAGGGCTGTTGGCTGAGCTGGGGCTGATTTATGGCCCCTGTTACTTAAATATTAATGAAGGGCCTGGCCGGCCCTGCGCCTGCTCTCTTTGAGGCTAATTATTTTTTAAGTCAATATATGTGATCCACAGGGGATCTGCCATTGTGACTAAAGGTCGACACAATAGGGAACTCGTTTAAACCCAGCAGTCAAAGTGTGGTCAGTTTGGGGCACAGCATGTTCTTGCTGGCATGCACCCCAGCTCTGGCCCTACATCCACCCCAGGGCCACACCAGCCCCGCAGAGGGGCTCAGGGATGAGGCAGAATGGGGAATTTGATGCACTTCAACTGCATCCCAGGCTCACTGGTGAGGTCTCATCCCATCCTGGTTTCTGTCCCCATGCCCATTGCTCTCCCCATCCTCTTCCCCATGCCTGTACCCATCTCAGTCTCTGTGCTCTGGATCACAAGGCACAGCCGCCACATCTGGAAGCCGTGGCAGAAGGTGGCTCGGGGGGAGCAGTGGGAAGCACCTCGCATTCTCCCAGGGCGGGGGGACGCAGGAAAAGGGAAGCACCGGGAGCAGCCGGCACGTGTGGGTGGGCTGGAGCAGGCAGGCTTGGCCGCCGCCGTGTCCCATCGAGCTGCTCCATCCTCCGGTCATTTACAATAAAAAATAAAGCAGGGAGGATTTCCAAGCCCAACACGGGGCTGGCCCGGGTCCAGCGGGAGGTCGATGATTTGCTTTGCGCTACACATGCTTTAAAAATAATAGTAAACCGAGTCAAAAACGAAAAGTGAGCTATGAAGAGGGAGAGCAGCACGTTGTTTCCGCAGGCCGGGCTGCGAAAGCCAAAGGCATCAGGGAGCAGCTCGGCTGAGCAGCGCCGGAGAGCGGGGGAGACATGGCACCAGCCTGTCCTTAACTGCATGACACCTGATCCCATCCAAGGCTGCTGTACGCGCTGCCGGAGCCGGAGCCGGAGCCGGAGCCGGAGCCGGAGCCTCGCTAGCCAGCAGCCCAAGGAAAAAGAAAACATTTTCCTTGACGAAGAAAAAACGCCACACCCCATCTGCAGGGACCTGCTCCCCCGCACAGTGCCCGCGCCTGGCCCTGAATGGAGCAGGATAGGCACGGCACAGCCTGGCACGGCGTGGCATGGTACAGCATGGTATTGCCTGCTACGGCATGGCAGGGCATGGCATGGCATGGTAAAGCCTGGTATGGCATGGCATGGAATGGGAGGGCATAGCACAGCATGGCACGGCACGGCACAGGATGGCATGGAATGGCACGGCACAGTACATCATGGCATGGCATGCTACAGCATGGCACAGCCTGGCACGGGATGGCATGGCATGGCATGACCCGGCATGGCATGGCATGACCCAGCATGGCACAGCCTGGCACAGCCCAGCAGGTCATGGCACGGCCCAGCACAGCATGACGGTGGTGCAGGCTGCCCACTGCTCACACTGCCTGGAGCTGGGGATCCCGGACTCCTGCAGCGGTGCCAGCATCAGGGGCGGTGCCAGCGCTTGATCCCGCGGCGGCCGGGTCAGGGCTCAGCTCAAGCCGATTAGTGACCCCGGGCGTGTGCGCCGGGAGCGCAGCCGCAGGTCATGGCTCAGGGCTTAATCCCTCACCTCCAGCT